AAAAAAAACAAAAAAAACAACAACAAAAAAAACCACCCAAATCACAAGACGATCACTGATGGCTTCACGAAGGATCTGAATTTACCATCAGATGTGAGGGGGAGCGTTTCCTTGGTCTGCCAGCTGTCCAGCATGTCCCACAGCCGAACGGTTCGGTCCCACGAGCAGCTGGCCAGGACGGACTGAACCGGACTGAAACAGAGGCAGCTCACCGGACCCTCGTGACCCGCCAGGACCTGTCCGGTCGCAGGAAGGAAGTGTTAATCTGAGGGATCCTGGCAGCTTCAATCAAGTTAGTCTGTCTCATAAGGAAGGATGAAAAAGCGTAATTAAAAAGAAGCATGATGCCTACCTCTAGCAGCCTGCCTGTCTGCATGGACCAGAGGAAGATCTCAAAGGAATCCTGAGCTCCTGCGCTCACCAGCTCCCCACTGGCATCTACTGCAAGGGAGGAGAACTGCGCAGGCCGAGGCGACGTAAAAGTCCTGAAGTTTCGGTATCTGCCAAAAAAAACCCCAAAACAACATTACAGGAATACATTCTCAACCATCTTTTAAAAGAATACACCCCCGTCCTTGCCGCCAGCGCCCACCTGTGCAGGTCGAAGGCTCGGACCGTCCCGTCCAGAGAAGCGCTGACGATGACGAAGCCGCTGGAGGTGAAGGTGACGTTAGTGACGCTGCTGGTGTGTTCGGTAAATGTGACAAAACAGAGGCCGGTGTTGGTGTTCCACACTTTCACCTGCAGGAATTTATTAACACAGTGTGGAGTCAGAGACGAGACCTTGAGTCTTCATTTATCTGGTATTGAACTAATGATTGGATTCAGGTGTGTTAACCCAGGGTGATATCTAAAACCTGCAGGACACCGGCCCTTGAGGCCTGAAGTTTCCCACCCCTGTTCTCCTGTCTCAGCATGGACACATGAAGTTAAAGGCTTCAGTCTGAGACTCACTTTGCTGTCGTCCCCTCCCGTCACGATGTACTGTCCGTCTGGAGAGTAAGCCAGCGACGCCATGTTGTTGAAGTGTCCCTGCTGCTTGAACACGTACGACTCACTCTGCCACTCCCACACCAGCAGCTGGCCCATCCCTGAAATAATCGATGTGTTTACCTTTTTGAGTTGCAAAAAAGTGTGTAACACCAGTAAGCTAACGCGCACACACACACACACACGTAAAAAGAAACAAATTCTTACGCGAGCATCCAAAGCTGATCCAGTCTCCGGAGCTGTTTATAGCCACCGAGGCAATCCTCTGGTCTGAAATACTGCAGGGAGACACAACAACACGGTTAGGTGAGAAAACACATCTGTCCTGTAACTTTTTAAACCAAACCGCAGCTTTTCTCTCACCTCAGGGAGTGAATGAGGTTAAACTCTGGAAGTTCGTGCAGGTGGAATATCCCAGAGGCGAAGCCTGTGACCAGGATGTGGTTCGGTTTGTGGTACGCAGCAGCAGTCAAGTTGTTAAAATCCCCTTCTTTGTTGAAAAAGTGTCTGAACATGGAAACAAAAGGCTGTTTTTAGATCTCACTAAAATCCTAAAGCCAGCATTGTCTTCTATTAATGTTACAGAGCTGGATATTCATAATAAATAAAGCCAGTGCTTAAAATAGTGAGGTAAGCATGCAAAACTAACCCCTCTGAGCAAAAAGCTCAAGAATCAGCAAGTTCTTACAAACCAAACAGAGCTAGAATGTGTTTTCCAGCCCTGAAAATTTCACATGGATTCTTCCTGTAATTATGTAGTAATGAAAGCTCATAAATGTTTCAAACAAATCAGACAAAAACAGAAAACTCTGATCCATCCCTGTGAAAATGAAGGGCCGGTAACTGAAAATATTCACAATATGAAGGTAAAAGTTTGTATGACATCATTAAATATACTGAAGTTGTTAGCACCCCAAAAAAAATCCTTTGATTTAACTGATTAAACTAATAAATAAAAATAAATATGTAAACTTTATCACTTATAAAATCAGAATTGCAATTAGAGACAAATCAGGAAAAGAATCGGGAAATTGGAGGCGTCTTACTTGCTCATCATCTTGTATCGAACATTCTTCTTCTTCTTCTCTCTCTCTTTGGCGGTTTCAACTTTCCCTCTGATCACCTCTCCCTCCTCTCCCTCCACCTTGTCCCTCTCCTCGCCCTCCTCTTCTTCCTCTTCCTCCCCTTGTCTCGGGAGCTTGGGTTTGTCCTGGCTCTTCTTCAGAATGAGGCCGTCCAGCTCAGTGTCGCTCTCCCACACACACAGCGTCCCGTCCTGGCTCACTGTGTACAGCTGAGTAAACATGCACACGAGGGATGAACACACAGAACCACACCTACAAACACATATATGTATATATGTAGATTAGCAGAAGTAAACCTACATCTAAGCTGTCCTTTTCGAAGAAACAGCCTACGATGATGTCCTTGTGTCCACCCAGGGAGTAGTAGATCAGGTTGGCCCAGCGCTCTGCACCGAACACCCACGTTGACATGTCTTTGCTGCCCACCACAAAACACCTGGAAGAAAAACGCCACAATCACAATGTATTCCTGTCCAATTACAGGCTTCTTCTGCACTTTCATGTTTGACAAACTCACTTGGAGTCGTCTGTCCAGTCGATGCAGGTGGTTTCATCGTAGGGACCGTAGTAGCTCTTGTCTAAGACGAAGGCGTTAAACTCTCGCTTCTTCCCAGGAGCGTGGTACATCAGAGCCACATTTTCCTTTGTTACAATGAACTTCCTACAAATTAAAAATGCAGCAAACAGTTGTCAGAATAATTTTTGTTCTTTCCAGATAAGGATTTTACAGCACACGTCTTTAATGACTTTAAAAAAAACATAAGAAGTGGATGCACAGGTTTGAATTTATTTGGGATTTTCTTTAATCCACAGAGACCTCCACTCATGTTTGGTTAAATGTCCCTGAGTAAGCCGCACCTTGATCAGACACGTTTGGAGCCTTCAACAATCCAGTGGTATAACCTGGCACAGACCCGGCTTTTAAGTGTAGTCCACAAATTTCCAAAAGGGTGGAGGTCGGGGTTTTGGGAAAGCCATTCCAGAAGTTTAATATTTGTTTTATTATTAAAAAAAATAGCTTAATCTCACAATCTCACATCTTAAGCTCACATTCACTCCTACAAACATACCTGTTATCATCGTGGCCAAGCTCAATTTCTATCTGGTCTGACCATAAAACGTTTTGACTTGTCCATGTGAGCATCTGCAAATTTCAGTCGTGCTTAAAGGTGTCAATTTTGGAGTATGGGCTTCTCTCTTGGTCGACACCGTCTCAGTCAATGGTGATGTAAATCTGACTTCACCTTGGAAAGACTTGAGCCTTGGTGGTTCCTGAACATCCTAACCAATTTCCTCTCATCTGAGGGTCACAGTTTGGGTCTGCTTCCTATTAAAAGGCCTTGTCAAGTTAAAAGATATTGCTGAACCTTCAGCACCACTTATTAAAAGATTCCAGTGGGTGAATATATACATTACAGCCTGTATCTATATGCTTGAACCTGTGGGAATTACATCCATATCTTCCGCTTATCCTTTTAAGGCAAGGTGCACCCTGGACAGGTCGCCAGTCTGTTGCAGGGCTAACACATAGAGACAGACAACCATTCACACTTGCATTCACACCTATTGGCAATTAGGTGTATATATACCAGGTTAGACCTACCAATTAACCTAACCACACTAACTGCATGTCTTTGGACTGTGGGAAGAAGCTGGAGTACCCAGAATGAACCCACGCAAACATAGGGGGAACATACAAACTCCACACAGAAACACCCCGGCCTGATGGTGGAAGTGAACTCAGGATTTCTTGCTGTGAGGCAACAGTGCTAACCACCGTGCATGTGAATTACAGAAAATCCAAAATAAATTTAAACTTGCGCACCCAGTTCTTGCTTTTTTTGAAGTCATTAAAGACGTGTGCTGTACAATCATTCCACTCTGGACGAAGATCAGTTTAAAGAAATCATTAAAATCCTGAAATTACCATCACATTCACGCCTATGATGAGTGGATGTAAACGTCCGACTACAACTGCCATATAAACTCTGCTGAGCTGTGTCTTACTAACACCAAGAAGAAGTAGTGCAAAATGCGTCGCACAGTTTGAACGTCCTTACCTTCCATCAGGTGAGAAGCGGATGCTGCTCACAGGTTTGTGAAAGTGGAAATGATGAAGGATGGCTCTGGTGATGAGACTGACCAGCACCGCTGCACCATCTGTTTGACACAAACATGATCAGACACGCTTGGATTTTGTTCTTGTCCGAGTCCTGAAGAAGACCTTAACTGTAAAAATTTTGTACCTTCATCCACAACAATCGCCAGGCTCCCATCAGGAGAGAGACCCACACAGGTTACATTCTTTGTCGTGGAGAACGGCAACGTCTCAGACGTGTTGCTGCAGGGCAGAGAGTAAAAACACATCAGTCTTATTTTCATTATTTTTTTTAAAATAAGGTGACTTTAAAGGTTACTTATTATGCTTTTTCTTACTTTATGACATATATGTAATGTTTATGTGTGCAAATGTAGACAAAGTTTCAAATAAGAAGGCAAATGTGAAAATAATCCTACCAATAGCACAAACTTTACATGGAGCCCCTCTGCAGGCTTCCAGAAGTTGGCCAATTAGAGGAAAGAATCATGCAAAGCTACTTCAGTGTAGATTTATCATGACAAATACAACTTTTAGATGCAACTGAATGGAAAATATAATTTATTTTTCATTATCCTACACCACCTGCACACTGAAACCTATACTGCAGCACAATCAGTTGTATTTTAATGTGGACACCATGAAAAAAAATGTCCGAATACTTTTAAGTGACCACAAAAAACAGTGCATGCAACTCTTCTCTTTGCAGGTCCAATAATATCTAGACGCTGGACACTGCATCCAGATGTTGTAGGACAGGACTTTACAGATAACCCTTTCCTGTACATGTCCTATACCACTGTTTGTCTTACTTCTTCAGGTCGAAGACAGAGATTCTGTTCCCAACTGGACTGATAACAGCGTTGCCATCTCTGGTGAAGTTCAAATTTCCTTGGCGATAGACTGCGCCGAGCAAATTGGAAAACTACAAAATAAAAGAAAAGTGATTTTACTTTTGATCATCAGCCAAGTGTATGCAGATCCTGTCAAAACGTGGGAATTCAACACATTCAGAGGCAGATTCATTAAACTGTATTAAAACACAGACACACGCACAACTAAACCGATATTTTGTTATTATATACACAAGCCGAAATAATTATGAATGATAAACAATTGAAAGCAAAAACAGTTGAATGTTTACAGCACTTGCAACATCGAAAAACTTATTAAATCTAACACTTTTTAAATGGAGTTTGGTCTGACACGCATTCTCGCTACCAAAGCAACGCGACTTTAGCAAAGTCGCTAACTGCAGCGCACTTACCCTATAAGCAAACTTCATTTTACTAAATATTCATTAACTTCGGCACATTAATATTCCCTTTTTAACTCTTTATAAATCCCAGGACTATGAACGTGAGACCAACATGCTTCTTCTTCCTCCACACATGTGTTGCGTTTTGTTGACAGTCGACACATCCGGTTTGAGTTGACTTGGAAAACTGCACGGCGCCCTCTGGTGACAAGGAGGTTAAAGTACAAGGTTGTAACATAAAAAAGGGGTTTGACTACATGCATAGCTACCCCCTTCATAACATGTGTATCCACCTGTATAGGCCAGACCTTTTTTTAGAACTCATAAATCTGGATGGTGACAAATAATGTTGGACTGTTGTTGTAGATGTTGTAGATGACTGTGTTATCTGTATTATTTTAATAATATTAATGTTTTTTAATCAGTCATGTTTATGCAACTAAAGATCATTTTGGAAGTAGAGCAAGATGGTATATGTGCTGGATGTCATTATAGCACATATATAGTGTTATTTAGTCTTTATCCTTCAGATGGCAATCACTCCACAGTGTTGTTAGAGGAGGCGAGAGTAATTATTATCTTCTCAGACACTGGTAATAAAAGCAGTTTATTATATATATTGAAAATAAAAAAGTGTTTGTGTTTATTTCTCAGTTGGGGACTCACACCCTCAATTTATCTAAGTTAAAGTCAGACACATGGCCATTACCCCGCATGGTTTCACACCGAGGTGTTATTCTCAAAATGGGATTTCTGAAGGGAGACTTACCTAAGTATCGGTCACTGGAAGAGACAGTATTTGACAAAGTATCCCAGAGGACGATGTTCAGCTTAAAATAAATATGCAATACTTCTTAAGAATAAAGTAAATAAATTCTAAAGCTATCTTAAAGGTACTTTTTGTGATTAACACTGGCAGAATTTGACTACATCTTTTACCACTGGGGGCAATGTTTCACAAGTGGTTTTCATTACCTGTGCTGATGCGTAACTTATGACAACCTGGTTCTTTTTTGCTCTCCCCATTTTCCCAAGGTGGCTTTATCTTTGCCCAGGTCTTTGTGGTTAATCTGATTTTTAACCCTCTGGGGTCCAGGGTATAATTGGCCGTTTTTGACTACTTTTGATTTTACCTCTACATTTCACCTTTAAAAACTGTTTATCTTGCCTTGTTTGGTATCATTATTTTCAGCACAACCTCAAATATCTGAAATTGTAGTTATTTTTTTCATTTTGGCATACTATATTAGCACAATTGATCTAATTTCAGACAAAATTCAAATTCAGTATCCGAGTAGAAAAAAGTTATATTTTTTACTGTAAAACCCACAAACATGTTTAACGAATAATTTTCATAACTTGAAATGCAAATAGAAATTGTACATTTCTAAAAAAAAGTATGCACAAGTTTTGCAAACAACAAAGTTATTTGGTACTATTACTATTTGGTACCTAAAAATTCAGCCAAGGCCTCAGTCATTTTTTATATAACAATTTAAATCTATTTACAGAACAATCAGGTGTGCTGCATCAGATAAGAAGGCACACAAATTATTTGTACCAGTCCAAAAAATAGTTTGTGTCCAGTATAAGACAGAGGAGAACTGTCCAAAAAGGCCCAGACGGACAAGTCCAGGGGGCCGACCCGGAGGCCGACAGCACCGGAGGCCAAAACAGTGCAGTTCCGGGGGCCGACCATGTGAAAGGCAGTGGCGGCGACGGGGAAACAGTTCAGGCGGCCGACTGTGCGCACGACAGCGGCAGCGTGAAAACAGTTCCGGGGGCCGACCGTGCGGACAGCGACGGCGAGAAAGCAGTTCCGGAGGCCGGCCACGGCGGCGAAGAAACCCAACATGCGGCCTGGCAGATGACCGACGATGTTGAGGCGGCAGTTGGGGACCTGAAGGCTGCGTGGCCTTCGCAGCACCAGGCGAGACGGAAGCTGAGGCTGGACCAGGCGAAGCTGAAGCCCAACATGCGGCCTGGCAGATGACCAACG